CTACCTTCTTGCCAAAGCATTTGGAAGTTGGACTAGTTTCGGCTCCACAATCCAGTGTGTCGTTACTATAATTATAGCTTTCATGGCTGAGGTTGTTGGTATGTCTGTTGGCTCTGGGTTCCCAGTACTCAGTAGCCGAGGCTGGTTGGTAAAGTAACTCCAACTTCACTTCAAGGTACCAGTGCATCTAGTGTCTGCTTCTATCAAAGCAGTGTGCTGTCTATACTGGTTACCCCAGTAAGTGCAGGGTGTGCATAGGTAACTGTCTTGGCCGTTTTATGCCGATGTACTCCGTGTGGTGTAGACCAGGTGTGCATTGGTGGTCGATTCACATGGCTTCGCCAGTTGTGTGGATTAGACAGTTATCTGGCGCAAGTCTTGATCTGTCTCATCCAGATCTTGTTCGCTATCGTTGCTATAAGAGAAAATCTGTGGGTGCACATCCAGTGCATTTGCAGATTTGCGTGCTTCTCTTGCGACGGGCGTATACATGGTACATGTGTATGCTTGTAAGTTGTATGCTTGTGTGTGCGTGTGTGTGTGTGTATGTGTGTGTGATGTGTGTCACGTGTGTTGTTCCCATGTCACATGACTGATCATGTGATTGGCTTGTAGGATGTAACAGGTTGCTCGTGTGGATCTACTGTCGTGGACATGGAAATCCGGTCGAATGACCGGGGCCGGTCGGTGCCCTCACTCAGTGTGTAAATAACGTAACTCGTTGCATGAGATGACGCGGAGAGCTGAACACGCCAGACGTTTGCTGTGAGATGATGTCGCTAACAGATACTACTGTATGGGTACTCACGGCTGCATGACCAGCGCCCTGGGGCTGCATGACCAGCGCCCTGGGGCTGCTAGACCTCCGGCATGATTTCCATGTCCACGACATGAGTAGATTGTTGCAAATACCGCTAGTACGTACAGTAAATACCGCTAGTACGTACAGTGAATACCGCTAGTAGAGTCTACGTACATGTGCAGTGAACGGGAACTACAATAGAGAGGTTCTGCAAAACGAAAATGTGTACGAACTTTCGCTCTACGTCACAAAGTGGGAAACTTCGCACGAACTTTCGCAACTTTGGACTCGAAACTTGCAGGGAACGCGAAATGAACTTTCGTAGGAAGTTTCGTGAGATCGGATCATGGCGTACGTGCACTTGGCGCATGCAAACTACGAAAATGTGCAGAACACAAAGTTCGTGGGAAAATTCGTACACATTTTCGCAAGGCCTGTCGCGAAACTTCGTTCGAATTTTCGTTGTGCAGAACCTCTCTAATACTTGCCAACAAAACATCCGATCAATACTGCACATGTAGATCAATGCTACACATGTAGGTCAATTCTGCACATGTAGGTCAATACTGCACTTGTAGATCAATGCTGCACATGTAGACCAATGCTGCACATGTAGACCAATGCTGCACATGGTAGTCGACTACCGTAATCTCGTATTTTTTCGGCAATCACTGTATGATAAACATACCCCAGTGATGACATTACAAAGGCCATGCAATGTCATCACTTAAAGTCTTTGAGGGAATGGAAAGGCCATGCAATGTCATCACTTAAAGTCTTTGAGGGAATGGAAAGGAAACAGTCTGAGGACAGCATGTACAGTCCCCAGCAGGACTCCGACGTGCAGCATGACCAGTTGGGACTCCTTTCACGGTATCTAGTGCCCTGAGATCGTGTACCGCGGTGACCCAGTGTGACCTCGTACCCAGACAAATAAGAACCAACTCACATACCTCATTCTCCAATGTCTGGGCACAGTGTGGACACTTTGGAGGAACTTTGCTGTGAGCAGATCAACACAGGAAAACACCAATAGAAACAAACAAGTTAATCTCATTTAGAATGGATACGAGTTACGTGGACTTTTTAATACGGTGGTCGCCATGGTAAAATTAATAATAATAATAAGTAGTAGTAGAAAAATGAGCTGAACTGGCTGTGAAACCAGTCTACATGATTGTACAATATTCAGTCAGCCACAATGGATGCCTTCGCAGCGACTACGGCTGCAGATGACGTGACAGGGGCATAGACAGAAAACATGGATTGGCTACCACGCGCACACATTACGCTGGCCCGTATAAGCGCTACGCTGAGACGGCACCGGATGAACTCGATGGTGAGGGAGTGGGACTCACCGGTCTTCTCTGCAAACAATACAGCAAGCAATTCTCTTATACAGAGCTGACGCACACTTGCTTATGCCACCGGTCGTAGAGAACACGGTCGGGGAAAACGAGGCGTGCTCTACATCACGCAAGCGCTGTTCGTACGAACGCTTCTTTGCCTTCTCATGGCGGGTGCGCGTGTAGGCTGCGAAGACGGAGGAGGAGCGATTTGAGGGCGCAAATGGGTTGAAAACCCTTACATCAATATAATGTGCTTTCAAATTGTCCTCCCCATAATCTGTTAGCGGCCACGTCCAATCTGGCAGCATCGGCACGAATGGCAGTGTGAAGAGAGAGCTGCCGACAGAGGCTCGAGGTGCGGCTCGACGGAGACATTGGTAGCCACTCTCTTCAGGAGGCCAGCGATCACATCTCGAATTTCGTTGTGGCGAATACTTTGGTACCCATCCGTCGGGCAGCTCAAGGCATGGGCGATGGTGAACTGGCTCCCACAAGATCACGCAGCGGCATGTGCGGTAGTCCCCAGTTGTAGCGGAGATGTAAACCATCCCGAAACTCCGCCTTCGCCATAGCAAAGCCATGACGTTTCAGGGGTTGGCATGTCCACCACCCTGAGGCGCCCTTCTCCGCTGCAAGCTCAACTGTGCGCTGCTGGTCTGCACTCAGTGAAGAGCATACAGTGACAGCGTGGGTTCGAAGAGCGTAACGAGCTGACGTCTGAACTGCTTTTCACTCCTCCCCACATGAGGCCGGGCACCACTCCTCCCTCAACTGAGTTTCCGCTTCCGAAACATCTTCCAACCATTTGACCATTCCATTAGGAAAGGATTCTCGGCAAGGAGCTACGCAACTAACTATTGAGAACACTACTCAAAGCCATCGAGATCCTCCGGAAGCCGCAGACCATCAGTCTATGATGTCGGTTGGTGCCGAATGGACAAAGATTATATTTCACTGTATTGTCTGCACTGGATATCGACACTCATCTCCTCTACATACCACAAGACACACGCACACACGCACACATGTTGCACTTGCACGTATCACGTATCACTTGCACGTATCACGTATCACTTGCACGTATCACGTATCACTGGCACATATCACGTATCACGTGTACATGTACAACAAGCATGGGTACATGTACATGATGTATACATTTTTTTTTTTTTTACTATAAAGCACTGGCCAGCAACATAAAAGGGGAGGTAGACAAAAGTGGACAAGCGAACTTTGACAACACAGAGGAGCGTAGCATGCGTGCCGATGAGGTAGGTCAACCTCCCCCGACCTAGTGGTCTCGGGTTCAACAGTTGGTCTACGCATCAGGAAGGGGAAATGGACAGAGAAAGGGAGAATGAGCATGAGGAGCTTCCCAGGAGAGGAAGAGTGAGTGAGAGAGAGAGAGAGAGAGAGAGAGAGAGAGAGAGAGAGAGAGAGAGAGAGAGAGAGAGAGAGAGAGAGAGACAGAAAATGATAATAATAGAGACAACCGGTTATTCTCAGTGCTGGTGGACTTCAGTGGCCCATAGCCAATTGGTCTGGCGGAGGTGATAGTAGGCCTTGGTCTTGAATGTCGGCAATTCCTTGAGAGTTGGGCGTTCGGCGAGGATTGGGGCAGGCAGTGTGTTCCAGCTCTCCAGGACAAAGTATGGGAAGGAGCGGCGGATGAACTCTGGACTGGAGGCTGGCAGAGGAGTTGCGAGTTGGAAAGAGTGGCCACCGAGGGACTGGCGTTGCCGGCGCGTCCGGGGTGCAGCGTTAACTCTTGCTGGGGGAGGTACCATGTTGGTAAGTAGAGCTGGACCTGGTATGCATTGCAGCTTATACAGGTAGCACAGCCCGTAAACATGCCTTCGGATTGCCAGGCTGGGGAGCAATGAGGGGCCAATAACCTTCATGGCTCGACGCTGGACCAGGTCCAGCTGATGGAGGTGACAATGTACCGCACTTGCCCAGACGAGAGGGGCGTACTCCAATTATAGGCCGTACAAATCCTTTGTACACAGTTAGGCGCCCTGCACTGTCCAGGATCCGAGATGCCTTTCGGAGCAGGCCGAGTCGCTATTTGGCTCTAACGGCAAGGGAACAGATGTGGGCCCGGAAGGAGAGAGTACTGTCAAATAACACTCCTAGCAGCTTGAGCTGAGGGCTCTCAGGCACCTGCATGTCATCAAATGTGAGCTGTGGGACATCCAGGGATGGTCTGTGGCGGTCAAGGAGTATTGCCTGAGATTTTGATGGCTCGAACTTTATCTTCCATTGGGCACCCCAAGTCTGCAGGCGGTCAATAGATGCTTGGAGGCTATTGCAAGCAGCAGCGATGGTATCTGGGTTTCTGATTAGGGCATAGAGTGTTGTATCGTCCGCGTAGACAGCTAGACTGGAGCCTGGGGCTAAACACTGTTCTGCATCGTTTACATATAACAGGAAAAGAGTGGGACCTAGGAGGCTACCCTGGGGCACTCCAGCCTTGATCGGGAACAGTGGGGAGGACTGACCGCCAACAACTACAGTCAGTTTTCGGTCATGGAGATACATCATACGACCTTAGCCAAGCCAGGAGTTGGCCGTGGATGCCACATTGCTGTGCCTTCGCAAGGACACCTGGGTGGGAAACCTTGTCGAATGCCCCGGCAATATCAACTGCCAGGGCATGCACAAGACCGCCGCCAGCCAGGGTAGTGGCCCAGGAATGCTGGAGAGCCGTCAGTAGGTCACTTGTGCCCAGTCCACGTCGGAAGCCAAACTGGGACGAGGAGAAGAGTTGATGGGTTTCCAGGTGGTTCACAAGCTGCCGATTGATGATACCTTCCATGATCTTAGAGATATAGGCCGGTAGTTCTTCATCATGGATTTGGGTCCTTTCTTGTGCACTGGAACGACACGGGCAATTTTCCATGATTGGGGCTGGACTCCATTTGCAAAACACAGGCGAAACAATCTAGCCAGCGGATGTTCAGAGGTTCAGCTGCACACTCCTTGAGTACTCGTCCTGGGATCTCATCTGGACCAGTGGATTTGGATGTGTTGAGACGCTTCAGGCACTGTTGGACTTCAGAGACGCGGAAGCGGATGCGCTGCAGGCCCGGAGTGGTAGTGCGGGGTGTTGCTGGTAACTCAGCATTGTCGATGTCATTATCCCCAAGGCTACATTTTTCAGCAAAGAATCTAGCAAGGCACTCGCTCTTGGCTTTCGATGTACTGTGCTCGTGCCCGTCAGCATCAGTGAGTGTTGGCACGTCTGTAGTCCTACCCAGACCGGCGGCGCGCTTGACATTCCTCCACCAGTCCTTGTCTCTCATGGAACCACGTGTGAGACGCTCTCGGACTGTCTGCTCTTCAGCTTGTTGTGCACGATGTTGGGTTGTAATAGATTGAGTGACAGTTGTCATGAACGACTGCTTCAGGCATTCGCTGGGCCCCTGGTGACGCCAGGCCTTCCATGCTTTCTCTTTGGCACGTTGAGCCTCAGTGCATTCTGGTGTCCACCAGCTCGGATCGGACGGCCTTGTTTCCAGCATCTTGTGGGGAATAAACTGCAGCATCCCAGACACGATGTGCCTAGTAACAAGGCTGCATGCTTCCTCTGGGTCCTCCGGAAACTCAGCTGCCCAGGCAATGCGACGGTAGTGGGCACGCAGTCTGTTCCAGTCGGCTTGGCCATATCGCCACACACGTCTCCGTGTGCTGGGCTCATTTTCTAGCGGGGCTTGAGCGAGCACAGCGTGGACAACACAATGGTCTGACCTTCCTATCGGCGGCGAGATACCGGTGGTCACAGTACCAGTGAAGTCAGAGAGCACTAAGTCCAGGGTGTTGAGACCTCGGGTTGGTTCTTGGACATGCTGCATGAGGCTGTGGGCAGCACTTAGTTCCTCCATGTACTCCCCTGCACGGGTGGTCTTAGAGCTGCCGAGCCAAGCCGTGTTGTGGACATTGAAGTCTCCGACCAGCATGGTGTGGGTGCCGTGTTTTCTGACGCTATCCAGGATGCCATCGAGGTGCTCAAGTGTTGAGATATCAGTGTCTGAGGCGGATCCTGGCCTGTATACAGCACTATCTTACCATGATGGGCAGACTGCACTGTGAGCCAAGTTACTTCGTGAACAGATGAGTCGTACTGATCTAGATGATGGTACGCCAATGGGCTGCGTATCCAGATTGCTATGCCACCACCATGTTCAGTCCTGTCACGCCGGAGTGGGCCGGAGTACCCTGGGATGGCTGACTCGTGAAGGGAGAATATCTCTGCGGTGATCTTGGTTTCAGTAACAACAGCGATATCAGCTTTGGAGGATATAAGCGCGTGTTGAAACTCTCCAAATTTGGACATGATTCCACCAGCATTTGTAAGGAGGATCTTCATTGTTGCTTGCTTGCAGTATCTGCGCTGCTGCTTTTGTTGTTGCTTGCAGTATCTGCGCTGTTGCTTTTGTTGTTGCTTGCAGTATCTGCGCTGTTGCTTTTGTTGTTGCTTGCAGTATCTGCGCTGCTGCTTTTGTTGCTACCTGCGCTTTGCAGTGGATTGGGCAGGGATGGGGATGTCTCTGGCGTGTCAGTTGGTGGGCAGCCAGGCTGAGCTGACCCTGGCACTGTCTTGTGAGTGTCGGATGTGTGGAAGGTCCACCTCCTGCAATAAAGTGGCCTTGGCCAGAAGTTGGCAGCCAGCAGGATATGCAGGGAGCTGGCATCCACAAACGCTCTTGCAGACATGCAGCCGCTAGCATTGACATGCATGCTACAGGTGTGGAGCACTACTGGTGTGGAGCACTACTGGTGTGGAGCACTACTGGTGTGGAGCACTACAGGTGTGGAGCACTACTGGTGTGGAGCACTACTGCCAGTACTGGTGTGGGGCACTACTGGTGTGGAGCACTACTGGTGTGGAGCACTACTGGTGTGGAGCACTACAGGTGTGGAGCACTACTGGTGTGGAGCACTACTGGTGTGGGGCACTACTGGTGTGGAGCACTACTGGTGTGGAGCACTACAGGTGTGGAGCACTACAGGTGTGGAGCACTACTGGTGTGGAGCACTACAGGTGTGGAGCACTACTGGTGTGGAGCACTACTGGTGTGGGGCACTACAGGTGTGGAGCACTACTGGTGTGGAGCACTACTGGTGTGGAGCACTACTGGTGTGGAGCACTACTGGTGTGGAGCACTACAGGTGTGGAGCACTACTGGTGTGGAGCACTACAGGTGTGGAGCACTACTGGTGTGGAGCACTACAGGTGTGGAGCACTACTGGTGTGGAGCACTACAGGTGTGGAGCACTACTGGTGTGGAGCACTACAGGTGTGGAGCACTACAGGTGTGGAGCACTACAGGTGTGGGGCACTACTGGTGTGGGGAATGCACAGTAGACACATCTACACACATTCCACATTCCACATTCCACACTACACACTACACTTAGCCTTAGATGTGTCGTTTTAGGTACTTGTATCTCTTCTCTTTCTCTCGCATGTTGAGCCAATAGTATAAAAGAAGAAAGAACCAAAAACTGACTGTATAAGATCTCGTTACTGTGCCTTGGTGGACTGTTAGTCATACATTGTACACTGTACAATGTATATTGTATACCAGATCTCAGGTGTCTTTTTCTTTGGCATTACCGCCAGCACAGAGTACGGCTGGCTTTTCTCGGATTGGCTATCTCGCTGCTGACCGGTGGAATATGCCAGAGTGGAATATGCCAGAGTGGGATATGCCAGAGTGGAATATGCCAGAGTGGAATATGCCAGAGTGGAATATGCCAGAGTGGAATATGCCAGAGTGGAATATGCTAGAGTGGGATATGCCAGAGTGGAATATGCCAGAGAGGAATATGCCAGAGTGGAATATGCCAGAGTGGAATATGCCAGAGTGGAATATGCCAGAGTGGGATATGCCAGAGTGGAATATGCCAGAGAGGAATATGCCAGAGAGGAATATGCCAGAGTGGAATATGCCAGAGTGGAATATGCCAGAGTGGAATATGCCAGAGTGGAATATGCCAGAGTGGGATATGCCAGAGTGGAATATGCCAGAGTGGAATATGCCAGAGTGGAATATGCCAGAGTGGAGGAGGCTGTTGCCTTCCACTGTTCGTACTTGTACAGATTACTGCTCATTTATTCGCTCATGCATAACCTCATGCATAACCTCATGCATAACCTCATGCATAACCTTCCTAGGGGCTCCCGTAAGAAGACCATAGGTCTGTGGGAAACACCCTAGTAAAATAGAAGTTCATAATAATAATGTATCTCAGATGGAGAGCCAAGGTTTAATTTATACAAAATTCCTTGGTCTCTCTTTCTCTTTTGTATAAATAATGTATCTCGTAACTTATTGGTCTTTTCTTCTTTCTATTTTTCTGTTTCTTTTTTCTTTTTTCAAGTTTGGTCCCCTTTCAAGTGCTTCAAGCACTTCTTCGCTTCATTCTATGTATAAAACTGTGCTTTCAAATTTATTCTAGCCATTCGTTATTCTAGCCATTCATTATTCTAGCCTTTCATTATTCGCAACCGAACACTGAAGAGATCTATATGATTGTATAGTGCTCGAAACAGCTCTGTAGTGTGTGGAGGAAATTAAATTTGTCAGTACATGTAATTGTACTTGTATCTACAACTTGGAGTTATGGTGCTGGTGTTTGAGGGGGTCTGCCACAGTCATGGTGCTGGTGTGTGAGGTCTGCCAGAGAGCGCGTTTGCTGAAGGGGAAATTACTTTAGGCTCCAAGTGAAGACTTCTTTTAATTTTCTTGCCAATTGTGAGACCATGATGTGCGACTTCCAAAACAATTGTGAGACAATGATGTGCGAGTTCCAAAACAATTGTGAGACCATGATGTGTGAGTTCCAAAACAATTGTGAGACAATGATGTGCGAGTTCCAAAACATTCATCTGCCTGTGTTACGTGTATCATGAATGTATTCGCTTCCGTGTTTGTCTACCCTTCCTCCCTCCCTCACTTCCGTGTTTGTCTACTCTTCCTCCCTCCCCTCACTTCCGTGTTTGTCTACCATTCCTCCCTCCCCTCACTTCCGTGTTTGTCTACCCTTCCTCCCTCCCCTCACTTCCGTGTTTGTCTAGCCTTCCTCCCTCCCCTCACTTCTGTGTTTGTCTACCCTTCCTCCCTCCCCTCACTTCCGTGTTTGTCTACCCTTCCTCCCTCCCCTCGCTTCTGTGTTTGTCTACCCTTCCTCCCTCCTCTCACTTCCGTGTTTGTCTACCATTCCTCCCTCCCCTCACTTCCGTGTTTGTCTACCCTTCCTCCCTCCCCTCACTTCCGTGTTTGTCTACCCTTCCTCCCTCCCCTCACTTCTGTGTTTGTCTACCCTTCCTCCCTCCCCTCACTTCCGTGTTTGTCTACCATTCCTCCCTCCCCTCACTTCTGTGTTTGTCTACCCTTCCTCCCTCCCCTCACTTCTGTGTTTGTCTACCATTCCTCCCTCCCCTCACTTCCGTGTTTGTCTACCCTTCCTCCCTCCCCTCGCTTCTGTGTTTGTCTACCCTTCCTCCCTCCCCTCACTTCCGTGTTTGTCTACCATTCCTCCCTCCCCTCACTTCCGTGTTTGTCTACCCTTCCTCCCTCCCCTCACCTCCGTGTTTGTCTACTCTTCCTCCCTCCCCTCACTTCCGTGTTTGTCTACCCTTCCTCCCTCCCCTCACTTCCGTGTTTGTCTACCATTCCTCCCTCCCCTCACTTCCGTGTTTGTCTACCCTTTCTCCCTCCTTCACTTCCGTGTTTGTCTACCCTTCATCCCTCCCCTCACTTCCGTGTTTGTCTACCCTTCCTCCCTCTCCTCACTTCCGTGTTTGTGTACTCTTCCTCCCTCCCTTCACTTCCGTGTTTGTCTACCATTCCTCCCTCCCCTCACTTCCGTGTTTGTCTACCCTTCCTCCCTCCCTTACTTCCGTGTTTGTCTACCCTTCCTCCCTCCCCTCACTTCCGTGTTTGTCTACTCTTCCTCCCTCCCTCACTTCCGTGTTTGTCTACCATTCCTCCCTCCCCTCACTTCTGTGTTTGTCTACCCTTCCTCCCTCCCCTCACTTCTGTGTTTGTCTACCCTTCCTCCCTCCCCTCACTTCCGTGTTTGTCTACCCTTCCTCCCTCCCTCGCTTCTGTGTTTGTCTACCCTTCCTCCCCCCTCTCACTTCCGTGTTTGTCTACCATTCCTCCCTCCCCTCACTTCCGTGTTTGTCTACCCTTCCTCCCTCCCCTCACTTCCGTGTTTGTCTACTCTTCCTCCCTCCCCTCACTTCCGTGTTTGTCTACCCTTCCTCCCTCCCCTCACTTCCGTGTTTGTCTACCCTTCCTCCCTCCCCTCACTTCCGTGTTTGCCTACCCTTCCTCCCTCCCTCACTTCCGTGTTTGTCTACCCTTCCTCCCTCCCCTCAGTTCCGTGTTTGTCTACCCTTGCTCCCTCCCCTCAGTTCCGTGTTTGTCTACTCTTCCTCCCTCCCCTCACTTCCGTGTTTGTCTACCATTCCTCCCTCCCCTCACTTCCGTGTTTGTCTACCCTTCCTCCCTCCCTCACTTCCGTGTTTGTCTACCCTTCCTCCCTCCCCTCACTTCCGTGTTTGTCTACCCTTCCTCCCTCCCCTCACTTCCGTGTTTGTCTACCATTCCTCCCTCCCCTCACTTCTGTGTTTGTCTACCCTTCCTCCCTCCCCTCACTTCTGTGTTTGTCTACCCTTCCTCCCTCCCCTCACTTCCGTGTTTGTCCACCCTTCCTCCCTCCCCTCACTTCCGTGTTTGTCTACCCTTCCTCCCTGACTCCTCCTCTGTTTTAATGGACGGCGTTCCTATTGCCTTTGGACGTTCTGCTAAGTATCTCGGCGTACAGCTTAGTGATGGTTTGAAGTTCCATGACCACTTCCACACCATCTTCAGGAAGTTTCAGCAACGAGTCAACCTGTTGTGTTTCATGGACAGACATTTACCATCGTCCCATATTCTCCTCT